GCCTTTTAGAATATTTCCAAACAAACAATTTCAACACAAATCTACTAATTTCTTATTTTACCATGTTTTAACTCTTTCTTCACTACTTTGTTTTTAATTTTATTTATATATTTATAATAATGAATTTGTGAATCAGAACTTCGAATTTAATATTTTTTTCTTAAATTTTAGTATTTTAATTTAGTTATTCAAAAATTTGACTCTTATTATCTGCTTAAAAATTTTCCTTTTCCTCCATAATTTTTCATGTTCAAAAATAATAATAATAATAATAAACTTGCAAAATGAATCTTTTTTTTATGTAAAGAGAATTGTTATTCCTAATTTTGTGTCACCTTAATTAATTATTAATTGAATAAATTAAAAAGTAAAAAGTTATTCTTTCTTATTGTTAAACAAGCCCTTAAGAACTGGTTTTGGGGTTGTGATGTGTCGTATCTCTATACATTCTGCCTTGTTTCAAAAAAAGAAAAAAAGAAAAACAGCCCTTAAAAAGGTTTAGTTGATTCATGATTTAAATTTTATCTTTTATATTCTTCTCATTTGTTTCAAGACATATATCGATCAATTTTGATTTTTACTTTTTGTATCTATTCATTTCCAATCAAGATGTATAGATCCATGGATCTATGACTATGTGCCTACATAGATCCTATTCATGGATTAAGGAATATATGCATAACTTTATTTGCCTCCTCGTCATTCTACGAGCGTTTTCCTTTTTGTAATATGACACCATCACTCCCTCTAAGATCTAATATCCATAAATACCATGCAACATCTTAAATAAAAAAATACCAATAATATAATTTAAAATCATATTGTGTAGTATTTTATGAGTTTTTTTGGTAACCCACTCTCTGAAAGATACTTTTAGGAAAATAATACATAAAAATGTTTGGTTTTGGCAAAGAAAAATAAATTTTTGGACACAAAAATCACTAACAAAATATAATGGATTATATTCTTTTGTAACTGGTTATAATGCTTCAAAGAGAAAAAAAAAAAATCAACTAAATAAAAAAAGTAATCAACTATGAATGCCAAAATGAATTCTTTTGTTATATAGTCAACTACATTTTAACTTAATTTTATGCTTATAAAGTTTATTTTCTTAATTCAATCTAGTTAAAAAAAAAGAAAAGTGATGCATGGCTCCTCCCAAAATGCCTTTAAATTAAGAGGTAACTAAATATGCCCTATATATAAAGTTGTTGGAGGTCTTTTGCTTCTCTTTTTCTTATATAAGGCCAAAAATAATTCAACAACTCATTAAAATGGAATTACATACGTCCAAAAATTCTCACTAACTTTTTTGTTTTTAGGATGAACCCCAAATTTGCTCAACAAATAGAGGAGCATGGATAGATCTGCCTTTTAAAATGGTAAGAATAAATTGCTTTTCTAAATTATTGATCAAAATAAATCATTCATTATTTAACATGTGACATTATCATCTATTAGGCATTCGTATGCCACCTAAGTTGTTTTTAATAGAAAACTAATATGTGATAATATCATACATTAAATAATAAATAATTTGTCTTAATTAACAATTTAGAAAAATGATTTGTCCCTACTCTTAGGCGAATTTATCCTTGTCCTTTTTATTTAGGATGGAATTTGTGGAGGGATCATACTTTTTTTAATTTTCCAAATCTCTCATCACTTATTCTTTAGTATTTAAAAACTAGATTAGATTTTAATTAATCTAAAGGTAGACTGCATTGAATCCTATATAAAGGCAAATTTCTTTCAACATTTATTTATTTTTATTTACAAGAGTTAAATTTAAGATTTATTTAAAATAACCAAAAAAATTTTATTCGATTAACAAAGCATTGGTTTTTAAACTCTTAATTAGTAGGATATTTACCGGGGGCACAAATTCTCACAGATCCAGATGGAGAGAAGACCGTTGGATGATACTTAGAGTCTAAGTCTCTGAGACAGCCAATTATGGATAGAAAATCTGTAAAATCAAAATCTTTAATTTTGTTTCCAAAATCAGCCCGTCAACCAAGGGTAAAAATGTCAAAACGGAGAATAACTTAGGCCAGTCTGGTAACTTCACTGCTGATTACTACAGTGGTCCCCCTTTTTCAAATACCCTCTCAGAAATGTTTCCGAAATTCGAAACCCCGCCTTTCCCATTTACCCCCATCCGTTCTCTTCGCCCCCTTAAATACCGCTACTCTCCAACTTCCAACCTCCAACCTTTTTGTCTGACTCTTCATTTCCCCTCTATCCTGCATCCTCGTATCGATCGATGGCGCAAAGCATTGTTCAGCTTCCATGCGACGGTGAAGGCGCGTGTATGCGCTGCAAGGCCACCCCGCCTGCTGAGGAGACTCTGATGTGCGTCACCTGTGTGACGCCGTGGCACGTCGCCTGTCTTGCCGTGCCTCCACCGACACTTGAATCTACTCTACAATGGAGCTGCCCTGATTGCTCCGGTCAACCGCTTCCTTCTGCTGGCACCACGGCTGGGGGATCTAGTGACCTGGTGGCTGCGATCAAGGCGATTGAGGGGGACGATTCGCTGACTGAGAAGGAAAAGGCAAGGAAACGGCAGGAACTGCTCAGTGGGAAATCTGAAGGAGATGCAGGTGGAGCCGGAGATAAGAAGAAAGGGAAAAAGAAGGCGGAGGAGGAGAATTCTATTTTGGATGTTCTTGGCGAGACCTTGAACTGTTCTTTCTGTATGCAGTTACCGGAAAGACCTGTTACGGTATATCTCCTGTTCTTTTATCCCTTTATCTAAAATTTAGGATACTCGATTTTGCTAGAGTTGATGACTTTTCGTTTTATTTCTTGTTTTTCTTGAATCATTAAGTTGGTTACGTTTTCAAGCTTAATTTATGGTGAGTTAAAATTAGTATCCTGTTCTATAAATTAGTCATTGGGAAAATTTTAGTTGTTTTAAGTATAGAACCCTAGTCCAGTCCCTTTTTTAGTTCTCTAATTTTGGTTTTAGGCTCATTAAATTCATTTTCTTACTGGAACATATAGCTTTGATACTGCTACATGTTTTATGACCAACATTAAGTAATGTTCTCTTAATTCAGGTCTGTAGTCATCAATCATATTTATTTATCGCAAGTTGTTTCCCTATCTTCAGGCATCTTTTTCATGCATTTGTCATGTAATTTAAATGGATTAGTTCTATCATATTATTAAGTTCTATTTTAGTGGCCTCACCTGTTTTTTCAGTCACCAAAATTGGCATTTGAATTAGTGTGAATATTTGTTTCATCTTCAAAATTGGCAAGGGAGATATAAATTATTGCTAACGGGCTTGACAGTTATTTCTGGTGCCAGCCGTTATTTCCGTTAATGCTAACTATCAAGTTGATTAGCTGAATCTTTATACATGTTAGTTTTGATCATGTTGATTTCTTTTTTCATGTTTCAGACGCCATGTGGCCACAATTTCTGCCTGAAATGCTTCCAGAAATGGATTGGACAAGGGAAGAGTACATGTGCAAAATGTCGAACTCAAATTCCAGAAAAGATGGCTAGACAACCACGAATTAACTCTGCGCTTGTGTCTGCTATCCGTATGGCAAAGATGGCAAGAAATAATGTAGCTGTGGGACCTCTGAAGGTTAACCATTTTATACACAACCAAGACCGACCTGAAAAGGCATTTACAACAGAACGCGCACAGAAAGCTGGAAAGGCTAATGCTGCTAGTGGGAAGATATTTGTCACTACACCACCTGATCATTTTGGGCCAATAACAGCTGAATATGACCCTGTGAGAAATCAGGGTGTTCTGGTTGGCGAATTTTGGGAAGACAGGATGGAGTGCCGACAGTGGGGTGTTCACCTTCCTCATATTGCAGGCATTGCAGGGCAGGCAAAATATGGTGCTCAATCAGTGGCACTTTCAGGAGGTTATGTCGATGATGAGGACCATGGAGAGTGGTTTCTCTATACTGGAAGGTTTGCTTTCAGATAGCTTTTATATATATATATATTAAAGTATATTTGATGAAATAATTGGAGTATTAGACCCGGTTGCTGTTGATGGTTTACTGCAATTTGATTGTTTATTCAAGATTGTTGACATAATGGCTATCTGGATGTAATGTTTCCTTGTAGTTGTTGCCTGCCTCAAATTTACATGGAAAGTCAATTCTTAAAATTGATGGCAAACTTTTGTTAAAAACTTAGTGTGCCAGTTATATTTAATCTTCATGCTATGTTGCTTATATGTCATAAATTATTTTCCTTTCAAGTTCCCCCTTTTTTTTCTTGTTGACCTTTCACATTATACTTGCCTGGTTGTGATAATCTTTTAAAACTTTTGCTTTATCTGCCCTTTGTAATTTGTACTCATTATTATATCATCAATGATTGATTTTCCTGATGAAATGAATATTCATCTATACTACACTCTTGTTTTCCTCCCTCTAACAGTCATTTGTTTTTTGCATATGGGTGGCAGTGGAGGTAAAGACCTTAGTGGGAACAAGCGAACAAACAAGAAACACTCATTTGATCAGAAGTTTGAAATGATGAATGAGTCTTTGCGAATAAGTTGCCTAAAGGGTTACCCTGTTCGTGTTGTAAGGCAAGTTACATAATCTGAACCCTCTGTGTGTGCGTGTGTGTGTTTCTGCATGCATTTATAAAAAATGCAATGAAGCATCTTATAAGAATCTATTGCAAATCTATTTTGATAAGATGGACAGTTAGTTCCTTTCATCGTGTCATCTCTGTGTGTGTGTGTGTGTGTGTGTTTCAGTTTTTTTTCTTCCCACACATCATGTGCGCATAAGGATTATCAACTCAGTACTCATGGAATTATTTTAGGTACTTTTGGTTTCAAGAACTAATCATAATGCTATGTTATATATTTTTTTGTTGGGAAGATTGAATATATTGATTAATAATAATTGGGCTATAAACAATAAGTTAAACTGGGCAATTGTCAACCTAATCACACTCTTCACTCATAGGACCTGGAAGATGAGCAGTCTTGGAGCAAAGAGAAAGAACCAGTAATGTATATATTTTAACCTTGTTACTATACTGATTTTTATTTCTGTTGATGAGCAGGTCCCACAAAGAGAAGCGTTCTGCATATGCGCCTGTAGAAAAAGGAGTGCGATATGATGGGATTTACCGTATTGAAAAATGTTGGCGAAAAGCTGGAAAACAAGTAATAAATTCCTATCAGATACTCTAAATTTGTCTATACATAATATTTTTCTTAATTTAACTTGCTGATGGGTCTTTCCTCTATTAGGGTTTTAAAGTTTGCCGATATTTGTTTGTGAGATGTGATAATGAGCCTGCCCCATGGACAAGGTTTGTGTTGTGCTTCTGACATGGTTGATTGTTACTTCTTTTGACCCCCTAAAATTTTGTGAACCTAAATGTAGTGATGAAAATGGGGATCGACCTAGGCTGCTGCCTCTTATTCCAGAGCTTAAGGCAGCAACTGATGTAACAGAGAGGAAGGAGAGTCCCTGCTGGGACTTT